TCCATATTGAGTAAAAGTTTTTTCACTTTTTTATGGTTCACGTTTCACGTTTCCAAACACAACACATTTACATACTCTGTTCACTCACTTCATCGATAAAACGAGAAATTTATTTAATGATCATTACTAATCACTCGATGCGTGAAAATTACTCGAAAAAAGAAACACGTGTTTTTCGAGTAATTGTGTATCGTGAGTGTTAGCTGATTGTAGCAGGCGCCTCACGTAAAGACCCGTGTGTAGCGGTGAGTTGCAGCGCCCCTGCTTGTTTCTTGTACTCAACTCACGATATGCTAACTATTTTCTTTTATAATTTGAAAATTAAGCTCCGCACAAACTTTTGCCAAAGGAAAAGTTGTTTCAGAATACGCTCAGGAATATTTTCCTTTAAGGACATGCGGTTATTTTGAATCACCCTTATGTGAGATGGTTTGTAAACAAACAACGCTTGCATTTCATTCCTCAACCGAAATTCCGTCGCAAGGCTGCAATATAAATGTATGTACGAGACAAAATAGGCATGTACAAGGTATCAAGTAAACATAAACTAAATATGACAAAATAATATTTGAAAAATATACATACAAGGTAAGGAAAAAATACCGGGACCCCGAAATATCTCGAAAAATAAAAGTTTTATAGAAAACTATTTCCGATAAAAGTTGTAAAGTTTAAAAAGATCTACATAGGCCCGTTTCTACCAACTTTACCTAATCAGCAATTTAGCAAACCCTCAGTTAAACCTGAACCTGAGTTTAAATCAAAAGTAATACTGATTTGTTTCTACCACGATTATATCGAGGACGATTAACTAAACCTATACTATATGTCTAATAACTCTGAAATTATTTGAAGACAGAACGCTGATTGGTTTAATATTAGAGAACCTAGAACTAGGGTTTCCAGTCTAATAGTGATTCTTATCTTTAATCGAAAATATAAAACTATTGATATTATTGACTTTAAATTGCCTTCTATTATTGACTATTATTGAGTTTTTAAATCACGTTGCTGGAAACGGCCCAGTATAAGTTATTTTGTGCATATAAAATAATATTTTAACTTTAATGAGTAATATAAGTAATAAACGTAAACAAATGTTAAATTTTTCAACAGCAGAAAAAAATATTTTGATTGATTTAATTTTCAAATATAAAAATGTGATAGAAAACAAGAAGTCTGACATGGTAATTTAAAAAAAAAAAAAATATTAGAAAATAATAGAAAATTTGTTTAATAGTATATCCTCAACCAAATTTAGAACATCAGAGAGTTTAAAAAATTGCTGAGACAATTAAAAAAAAAACCAGAATATTTTTTGCCGATGAGAAAATTCGATTGTATAAATGTATAATGTACAAGTATAATGTAATATTTTTATCTTATGTTTTTTGTGGAATATTATTATCTGCTATATTATTATCTGCATATTATCTGCTATGAACATAATTTGAGTAATGCTAAATAGTTATATTATGTTACGTTTTACTTTTAATATTTTCCTAATTAATATTCAAATAATAATTCTGATAATATAATCTAATTGTTATTTAATCAAATATCAAAATATATTTCTTAATATAATTGTTATAAGAAATGATCCGATAGCATAAATACGTAGTATTAATAATAATTGCTTCATAGAAGATACTGCATTATTTCTAGGAAATATATATATATATAATTTAAACTTGTAATTATAATTATAAAATAATACTAAAGAACTTACTTATTTGTCAAAAATTCTAACTCTTTTCTAATATGTTCTAATATTAATTATACCAAATCTTTACTTAATCTAAATTGTATTTTAAATTCAACGTCATCTAATGTTTCAAAATAATTAACTCGCTCTTTAAATCTTTTTCTTCTTTGTTCAATTTGATCAATATTTTCATCATCAGAATCTGAGGACCACAAAAGATTAAAATACGCCATCATATCAACAAAATAATAATTATTATTTTTTTACAATTATTTTTAACGTATCTGTAACGTCTCAAACACTGTCAATGAGTGTTGAGTGAGTTTTGACAAGATGATATCCAATAAAGGTCAGGATACATATTTGATGATATGATATATAGAAATAAAAATAGAGTATTGCTAGTAACATTTCTTAAAACCGGCGTTTAATTACTTTAAACGGTCGAGATCGACCGTTTAACTTAAACTCGGCTTACAGATATTTAAACGCCGTTAAATAATTGGTAAAAACCAATATTCAGATTAAGTTAAGATAACCAAATGTCACTAGGGTTTAATTTCTTAAACCACGTTGGTTGAAACGGCCGTTACTGATCTTATCAGTTTGACTTTAGGTGACGTCGCCAAGGTCAGGACCACGGTGTAAGAATATAAGGTGATTTCACGACCATTGTATTCTATCAAAAAATCTGTGATCAAGATGTCATAGTTAAGGCATGTCACACAAGATGTCACGTTGGTGCAAAATCCCAAGTAAAAAAGAATAGAAGATATGGATAGATGTGGATAGAAAAGGATAGATGATGAATTTCTAAAGCACATTTATATATAATTATAGTCCTAAATAATACAAATTTTTTAAAATAAAACTTTTAACATTGTGTATAAAAATATATATTACTGACAAAATATTTTTTATTTTTTATAACAAATTATTCTTAGTTAAATTTGCAGAAAAAGTAATTAATAATGTATTCCAGTCTTTATAGAAAATTAAGTTTCTTTAAGAAAATGAATATTTATAATTAAGTTCCGCAGGACAATAAAATTTATATATATATATATTTAAAGTCCCTCAACACGTAGCCACCTAGCGGTTCAATGTGAAACAATGACAGGAAAATCACAAAAATTTGTTACCGTGAAATCACCTTATATTCTTACACCGTGGTCAGAACAAGGTCACCTTGGATTTTTTAAATGGAACCCTCTATTTTTTATTGCATATTCCTGCAGTTGATCTCGAGAGTTTTTGAAAACATTATAATAAAGTTATTTTTCATTAAGAACTTTTCAAGTTAGGAGGATTGAAAGTTACAGTAGAGTGAGAAAGAAAGAAGCGCGTTGAGCGCGTTGCCTCATTGTCTTTTTCTCTATAAAGATAGATCAGTAGAAAGAACAGAAAGAGAACAAGCATCAACTTCAAAAAAAAGATAATGGATATTAAAATCTTATAGCGTTTTCGATTATACAGGATTTGAACGACCCAGGGTTGATCAATCACTATTTTACTATAAATGCAAGTCTTTCATTGGTGGAGAGGTTGCAATGACGTCATTAACCAACCCTGGGTCGTTCAAATCCTGTATAA